GAGAAAAGTTTTGACAGACATAGAATTGTACCATATAATCCATCCAGCCTCGGGGATCATAAATTGAACATACTTGACTACACTGTATAGACAAGGAAACAATATCGTCAAATGTTTTCTTGTCTGGCCAGTATTTATTGTTAAATGATGCTACCTAATTTTTAAGAATTCTTAATAATGTCCTTTTAAAAGGGTTGATGTCTCTTCATTTGAACACACTAGAATCCTCTTTACATTAAGTCCATAAGCAAGTGTCATATTGGTAAATTGGTAAAGTGTTCAAAACGGAACATTTAATGACATGCACATTATTTTCTGACTAAATCATAACGTTTCGTTCATTTAAGTTGTTAAAGTTACAGCCCTTGCCTAAGAATTCAAGAGTAAAAAGTGTGGATATTTATGAAGAAATCGGTCAAATCATTCAGCAAATTAATTTTGAATAATCTTAGAAAAGTAATGTAACTCTATGACAAACCCCTCTTCTAAATGAAACTCCATTATTTCTTAAGTAACATTATTGTCCCATAAAAGTTCTTTTTTAACCTGAGGATCGTGATTACATTTCATAATTGTATTTTATTATGGAAAGAACCAAGAACTATCATACCCTAAACCCCAGGTTAGGAATGTGCTTGTTTTTCCCCCACAGTGTTTTTACTTCTTACTCTGGTGGCCCTGGATATAATACTCTTAAAACGAAAACATTTTAAAAGGGGCTGGATAACATCCAGGATCTCATATTTCTTGTATTAACATTAAATTCACATAAATTGCCAAGTGAGAATTGTTTCGCTCGCATATTTGTGAATTATATATGAAATTTATAAATTCGTGAACATTGTCATTGTGATCAGTCTCCTTTGTCATATAAAGTCACCAAACAATTTATCAACATGTCAACAGAACAGCTAAAAGACGAAATGGAACAACTGCGTGTAGAACTTCTACACATGGAAGCAAAGCAAATGGCAGCATCAATAGTGGTTCCACCGGTCTACGTTAAAACAGAAAAGGAGACTTCCAAAGTTAGCTGGTCGACCAGTAAAAGACACAGATCCAGATGTTGATGAATGGTTAACAGACATGAGAGAACATATTGTCAATATACCCAACAATGAAGAAAAAATAGAATTCATCGTTGATCATTTGACAGGAAATGCAAAAGCAGAAGTACGGATGCGTCCAACTGATATGAAGAAAACTGCAGATGATATTTTGAAAATAATAGAGGACACATATAAAATTCAGGAGAATCTTGCACAACTTCGACACACATTTTATGAAAGAACTCAAGGTGAAAATGAAAATTAAGAGGCATACTCATTAGCTTTAATGAAATTGATGCATAATATTTCAAAGAAGGAGGGTGGAGACAATACAAATCGAGAAAAAAATCCTTACTGAAAAAATTATTGATGGTGTAAACGACAATCAGTTGAAAAGGGAACTAGGAAGATTTTCCATAGAAAACCCAACACTGCCATTCATCGAATTTCGAGGACGAGAGTTATTGTGGATTGATGATCGACAGACAACAAGTAGTTCACAAAAGAATGTTGCCACCGTCAGCAAAGTTTCTACAGAGAAATCTCAACATGATGAAATTTTAGAGATGATGCGTAAACAACAAGATACAGTACCAACCAGACCCAACCTGACACCAAAGCAGTCCCAGAAAGCAATCCCCGGGACTGCTTTGGGACCGCTCTGGGACTGCTGTGGGACTGCTCTGGGACCGCTGTGGGACTGCTCTGGGACCGCTATGGGACTGCTCTGGGACTGCTGTGGGACTGCTCTAGAAAGCAGACCCAGCAGTCCCAGCAGTCCCTGGGACTGCTTTCTGGGACTGCTTTGTTCACTCATGCGTGAAAAAGGTTCTGAGTGACATGATAGCTCCGCCCCTTGTGTATTCTGAATTTGCATCTCCTTGTTGTTGTTTTGTTTACTTTCTGCAGAGAGGTGTTTAAGATAGAAACAAATATAAAAAAAACAAATATTAATTTCTTACAAAAATTAAATAAATAGAGATAGTTATACATGTAATTACTAAATGTCTTAAGAGGGCTGTAAATTTACACAATTGTAGTCTAGAATTAATTTTAAGAAAATAAAAGTAGTTAAAAAGGGAAGTCAGGGGATGATTTTTATCCCTTAAATTAAACTTCAATACAGGTGTTTGAAAAAAAATTATCTAGGCCTATTTAATAAATTAATGCTTTCAAATTATATATGTACTCAAAGTTTGCATTAGCACTATTTAAAAACAAACAAACTTGTCATTTCAGTAAGATACATGTATTCAGAGGAACGTACTGTACTGGATTTTTTTTTCTAAATGGAAAAAGCTAATACCATGCTTAAAAAAGAGCACTCCATGCTATTTTTTACCACCCTCAAATAAAACCTAATAATTTATTTAATGACCATGAAATAAAATTATTCTACCATTCTTCTGTCACATAAACAATGTGAACAGTTATTCGGGGATTTATTTATGAATTAGTTTTTAATTTGTAAACAAGTTATTAAAAGAGTACATTTATTTGAAAAATAAATATTTGAAAATATCGGGAATTGTGACTTGTTTCTTATTTCTTTGTTTGTGTTTACCTGGCCGGTTAATACAGCTGGATTGTATAAAATGGTGTCAACACCTGAGGTTTCAATCGCCTTTGGGCATTAGCAGAAAGTCAATGCATGCTATTTGGGTATCAGTGTTACACATCATTGAACACGCTGGTCAACATTGACACTAATTTCAATCTATGTCCTGCAAAAAATCTTAGTTTCAATAATTGTGTATAAATTTATTTCGGGATTAATTAATTTTGAACATAATCTGAGGGTTCCATTTGCGTGATTTACAGATGTACACTCGAACATTTATATAATAAAACACTTAAAACTGAGAATCTAAAGATAATTTAATTAAGAAGTCATTGAAAATAATCATGACTGAAATATAATACTCGGCAATGTTTAACAAAGAATTTTTCAAAAGCTCCAATACTTAAGAAAAATGCATTCAGAGTATAGTATGGGAATCGGCCTTGCTCTATAATTATTATTATCTATTTAAAGCTGATTCTGGTATAAAATAAACAATTCAAGTTTAATTTTCTATATAAAAAAATAAATATGAAAACCAATATCAATCACAAAAATAAAGAAATTGGATTATTTTGGTTAAACATTAATATACCAAATAATTGTGTTTAAATATGCGTGTTATTAATATGTGTGAACGTCTTCTTCATTCAATAATTATAATTTGTTTCTATACGCGTACTGTGATTTTCTTAACAGTTCAGAAATGACTGTCGCGTAAGAATTGTAAATATGTGTTGACACTACTCAGAAAGAATTGCTCATCAATTTCAACTGCCTTTTATATAGTTACATTGTTTATTGGTAATCTCATTCTGAGTAAGCTCCGCCCATTAAATTAATTAACCCCGCCCACTGGGACTGCTGGGACTGCTTTCTGGGACTGCTGGGACTGCTTTCTGGGACCGCTGGGACTGCTGGGACCGCTGTGGGACTGCTCTGGGACTGCTGTGGGACTGCTCTGGGACCGCTCTGGGACTGCTCTGGGGCCGCTCTGGGACTGCTTTAGCAGTCCCAGAAAGCAGTCCCCGGGACTGCTCTGGGACTGCTTTGTGTCAGGTTGGGTCTGGTTGGTACTGTATCTTAGAAAAACAGCAAAAGCAAATTGAACTTTTGACAGAAATGCAAACGACGCCATTTCGACAGTTTACCCAGAAAAGTCGTGGAAATTATCAGCAATCTTCGGATCTGTCGCGTACATTAAATTCCACGACTTCAGTTACATAACCCTAAAATTTAACACCTTATCCTTTCGGCCATTTGCGACAATTATAAAAACAGCCGACACCTTTTACGGTTGTGTTTGCAGAGAATACCTGAATCTACAAACGTCAAAATGTTGAAGTTCCTACTGGTTGCCGTGTTTAGCATGCAATTTGTACCATGTTCGAGGAAACAGAAATAGTCCTAAGAGAACTGCCGAATGATCTGGCCGAAAAAGAGGAAGTAGGCAGTTCAAATGGCGGAGAGATCACCGATGAAGAAATGCATCTGTCAGAAGACAAGCGAGAGATAGTGAAAAGGTCCGCTCTGTCCGATTCAGAGAAGCAGGAGTACGTGGAAGCTCACAATGAGTTCCGAAGGCAGACTACGCCCACTGCAGGAAACATCAGATATACGAAATGGAGCGATGAATTAGCCATTGTAGCTGCCAATTATGCCGCCCAGTGTAAATGGGCCCACAACAGCGCACGAACTTCCTCTCAAAGCACCTTTAATTACGTCGGAGAGAACAAGTATATTAACTCAGCTCAGGAAAAGATACGTCGTTCTGTGCAGTATTGGTGACTAGAGAATAGCAAGTATGATTATGATACAAAGACTTGTAGCTCTGGAATCTGCACTCACTACACACAGGTTATCTTACACATGAACAGGATAATGTTTACCAAGAATAATGCTTGCTTTTATCCCTATAAAATACACTTTGGTCGGAAAAGATTCTGAAAACCCCGATTCACAAATAAAAAATATCGGTAACTCATAATGCTACAAGACATCTAAAAAACTTTAATAGCTACTGGCACAAATTCTGAAGATATAAATCATAAATAAAAATCGCCGAGATCGTGCCATTTTATGATCATTTTTTTTTTTTAGATAAGTTAAAGTTATTTTATGTCAACGTATACCAGGGTGCTTGTTAAGATAAAGAACATTTCTCTAAATTGCCGATATAAAGACATGTTTGTAAAAATTTTGCTAAAAATGGATGCTGTATTAGAAATATGTTAATATTGGCTAGATGACACAGTCACGTGATTTACCTGCACTAGATTACTAAAACCTCAGAAAGCCATTTAAATACCACAAAGCAAAAAGCTTCAGGTAGCCTAAATACATTTTTCACTGAGGGAGATACGCAGTATTTTTGTATACCAAACATTATGATGACAGATCTCGAAAATTGTCCGCTATTAACCAGTAACAGAAATATTGAATTTGAAATCGATGTTGAATTTTCTCTTCAATTGCTGAATACAGAATCACAGGAACACCAAACCGTTGGAGAAGGATTCCAAAATTTTAATGAGACGGAAACTCTGGTGAAGGAACTGGTGCAGCAAAACCAGACTCCAGACCCATCACCAGAAGATAAGGAAGTACCACACATACCCCTGCCACCCGAGAAGAATTATCACTTGTTTGTTTCTTACTGTACAGAGGATAAAGAAGAAGCAGAAAATATTATCAAACAATTGACGGAAAGATTTAACCTTAAATGTATGAACAGTGTTGAAGATTTTACTCCTGGTAAACCTATTGAAGAAAATATTTGCGATGAAATGAAAAAGAGTCTCAAGCTCCTCTTACTGCTGAGTAGATCTTACTTACAGAGTCACTATTGTGCTATGGAAGCCCGTGAAGCATGTCGGCTATCTTTTACTGATGTTAATAATTTAAACGTTATTCCAGTAAGATTAAGTCCTGTGGAGGGAGATCTAGAATTGCCCCCTTACCTGAATTCATTAGTTTATATCGACAAAAATATTGAAGAGGATGTTGCAGCCAAAATTTATGGTGCCTTCAATCGTCCAGGTGAGGTTCCAATAAGAAGTATTTTATTGTTAATTAGTCGTTATTCGTTTTATATAAGACTTCCATTTTTTTTAAATTTCTCGACACAACATTTAAAAGACGTCTTACAAAATTTATTCTCTTTAACTTTATAGGAACTTTAGATCCATTACATCTGAACGAAAAAGGTATGGCCTTTAATATGAAGCCTTGCGCAATGCTAATTAATACTAATAATAATACTAATGCTAATAAATAGAAACGTTGATACCACTCATATTTTACTTTTCCTGCGTCGTTAAATCACTAAATTTCGTAGGGGTTCAATTGTCGTTGTTATAGAGGTATGAAGAGATCCACGAATTCATGTCCACCACGAAATGTAAAATTTCATAATTATAATAACTACTCAACACTTATCCAACTACGAAATCAAATACCCTCTAATGAAATATGAATATAACGAACAGTATTCAATAGTAGCCAAATAGTCAAACTTTTTTTTCTCAAACCTCAAAAATTCGATCCCCCAAAAATATGTGATTTTAATTTGACAGTATTGTATTTACCCTAAACTGTTTCTCGGTAGTTCCAAAGTGTACCTTGTAGAAGGAAAAAAACTCATCAACGGCAATGACAACATTTAGTAACAGGAAAAAACCACACCCTTTGACATTAATGTAAGTAAAATAAACGGAATGCACGGCCACTGAAAGGAATCTTAAGTGACCATTGATTGGCAATTCAGTCAACAACAGAATCAAGGTTGATATGATTCCTCACCCTAAAATGTGACAGTTAGACGTTAGTACAATTACTCCACAGATTGAAGTTATTTATTGATGTTAAACTGTATCAAAATAGGATTAAATTACTAGAATCAAGACACCTCAATCACTAAACTGTTGTGAAATTCGGGCGATGCCTACAAACAGTCTGTTGTTATAAATTTAACTGTGACAAGATGGCAGCGTGTAACCTTCGATAAATTATATATACAATTGTATATTTCATTACAAGAATAAAAAAAAGAAACAAATGATTTTAACTGACGACTTTTGAAGCAATGAGGTTGGTAGTCACCTCTAAAAACATCAGAGGTGGGATCAGGTGCCATGGAGGAGTACCTAGTAAACATCTTCTGCGGACCTGTCACACCCGCCGCGTGCTCTTTGTCATGATCGGGAAAACGGAAAAATCCGTAGACAATTCAATGTGTAAATAATGACCAAACAATTAGTATGAAAAAAATCAGTCAAAATTCGACTTAATGGTAGATTGTACTTGCTGACAAGGTCATTGTATAGAATATAGAACTTGCGAAATGATGACTTTAAACGAGACTGTTGATATTTTTGTTTCATCAACTTGTTTGTCAATAGCTTGACTCGTTTTAGAAATTGTTCCTACATAGAGCATGCCCTTGCATATCGAATCAACTGGGAGACATAAACCCAATATGCAGGTGTTAAGGGTGTATTGCTACTTAACGTTTATCATAAAGTTTTGTTGTAAGGTTACCATTAATGTCTTTTTGTAGCCAATGGTATGTTTGCACCTGATCCCACCTCTGACTTTTTCATTGGTCCGTCTATTACCTTGTTTATGCTGTTCACGATTCGTATTCTTGTTGGATTTATGAGATTATATTACTGATATGAAACTGAATGTTTTTAAATGGTAACTGAAAGGTTACAGAAATATGCCTGCCATGAAGCATCAATCAGTGTTTATGTTATTTAGTATATTTTTCAAATGGAGTTCCCAAGTTAGATGAATTTCAAGTAAAAATACATACATACATATATACATACATACATACATACATACATATATATATATATATATATATATATATATATATATATATATATATATATATATATATATATATATATATATATATATACAAGAAAATGATAATCTTGTAAATTGTTTTTAGTTGCCACACACAACGGTGTTTTGATATGCCAAAAAGTAGCAGAAAAAGCTAAATTTGCTATCCATGGACTTGCTTTCAAATTTTCACCTTTGGAGAAATATGAGCAAAGGAAAGCTACTCAGTTTGACATTAATCTGAAACAGGTCTTATTTGTTTTCTCTTTTAATTCGCAAATCGTTTCAGTATAATGTTTGAAATATTCTAGAATATTTTAACAATACATCATATGACTTACTTTAATTATATTTCAGCTTGAAAACCACTACACCACTCTTACAAAGTCATTAAATAACAAATTCCTGTTCAGGAATTATCAAGTTCTTACAACAGCGGAGTGGCGTTGCATGGCTTTGTTTTTACTATTTCTAGCAGCTTTTGCCGTTCAGGGCTGTTTGATAGTCGTCAGTGTAACCTTCAGTTACGAAAAGGAGAAATATAGAATGTTTAGTCTGATAGCATTAACAGTCGGTTCGTCGATGGTGATTTCAATATTCCCGATTGGATACTTTATTATTTATGTCTGTCGAACAGTCGTAAGTAGGACATCTCTCTCTCTCAAAAACGTTTTGCGTAATATGTTTATATATACTGACACGCAAAAGAAAAGCATCCTCTTTTATAAAAAAAAAATCAGATATTAGGAAATTCAATAATTTATACTTTAAAAGTAAGAACATCTTCAACTTTGCGGCGTCGGTAATTTTCGATGGGCGAACAAGGCGAGCGAAATGCCTATTGTGAAAAAAAAACATGAAGGTAAAAATAAAATCTCAATTATAACAAAATTTTCTTTGATATTTTATCTAACATTAAAGTATACTTTATGTAAAATCTCTACAATTTGCAAAAATCTCACAAAGATTAAAATTATTTGCCTATGAAATAGCATACAGACACTAAAGAGGACAGTGATTTAAATGCCACTATCCATCAAGAGCTGTGTAGCATAGTGGTTATAGCGTGTTAATCTCAAAGAAAAATGATACTCAGGATTCTTACTGCTAGGGTTCGAATGCTATCACATTATTTTTTTTTTAATAACGGAATAATTTTCGCCGAGAAAATTTTCCCCAGATAAGGTTTGTTTATCATAAATTCAAAAATTTCAATAATGAAAACTTTTCTCTAAATTCTAAATTCACAACTGAATATGGTTTTTATATATCTGAAGCTATGGGTATTCTGCACGCCTTGTTCGCCAATCTCTTTTATGAATCTGGGTTCAATAATAAGAGGAATTCTCAGGGTTGGCCAAGAATCAGTATTAGAAGGATAAAAAGAACACCCTGTAATATATAGCTGAATGATTTTCATCCCGTTACCGGAGCTAAGTCCGAGCCCGACTTAATGGAGGTTCCCTCAATTATTGGCTATAATTATGGTTTTCAAGAGTTTGTTTCTGTTCATCATAAGTATATTATTCCGACAAAAGTTCTCATTTCTTTTCCTTAATTGAAGCCATGGCTGCCTGAAAATGACTATGAGCATGCGTTTTGATTGCTTCTAGCTGCACATTTTCTAAAATGAAGATGAAAGAGATTGCAGATGCAAGTATGTAGTATATCACGTTTTTTTCATTCTCATGCGTCTCACTAGCTTGAATGACAGTTCGTTGACCGGAAGTCCAAAGGTTACAACGCTGGCCAGGTTCGAGGAAATTCGAAATCAGCATCTGAGAAACGGGCACTTCACAAAAGACTAAATAACATTTCTTTTTCTCAAATAAAGAGATGCATGGTAGAATCCGAGATACAGTTGTTGTGTATGCCGGACTTGAACGCTATAGCTAAATAAATGTTAAATTTTGAATATCATTAGATAAATAATATTCACATATTTGTAGTAAATTGCTTGTTGTGTTTCTTTTGTGTCTTAGTGTATTTTTATTTTCTTATTCTTGACTCTTACAATTTCTAAAATATTGATTTACAGCTTTCAAAAGGTGTCCACTCAATAGTGCTTAAATACAACCTGATGTTTTACAAGGAAAGTAAATGTCTTGTGTACTTTGACAACTCATGCCTTTCCAAACCTACTGTATCCTTAAAAAGTCATTTCAGATCAAATATTTATAAGACAAAATTCTGTTTAATCATTTTGTTTAACGTGCAACGTTTCTTGCGAATAAAATAATAGGAAAAATATATCTACACTGTACGTTTTCAATAAAAGTGTGTCATTTATATTTATAACGTTAATTTTTTTCTCTTTGCCCTTAATATCGGCTATATAATAACATTGTGTCTGGCGAATCGGCACGTGTTCTTCAATTTTGCGAATGAATACTATTGACCACACAATGCATTGAGTTGTAATTTGATATCAGCGCTTCATGCTTAAAGGTTGAAAGTTTTTTAGACTTATTCATAAAAACGTGTTTGTAATACGCTTCTCTTTATATAATTATCAAAATATATTTTTGAAAATGTTGAACTTTAAAAGTTTACTCATTTTTGTTCTTATTTATCGAAATTGTACATTGCATTCTCGGAACTATTTTCTTAGTACTATCGAGAAGCCACATGACAATCATATGTCTGTTTAATGTGCATGTTTAACATACACGATAGTGCTGTGGATTTTAATGATTTGAGAAAGAAAATCTTCTTTTTTTCTGGGAAGAATAAAGAAGTAAGATGTAAATATAAAAAATGAAGAAGGAAAATTTATTTGACGCGCATCATTGGCAACCGTCATAATTTATGCTCTATGACAAGAAAACACATTTATCATTAATCATTTTCCAGCATTTTTGAATCAGTGTTATCTAAAATAAAACCACTTAGCATATTGGCAATTATTTTTATTTGTTGCAATGATTTCTTTTGCATATTTACAATATATTTTTTGTATATTGAAACTGTTATAAAATATTTTCTCCTAAACAAAAAAAAACAGCTTTATCTCTATAGATACGATACTACAGAATGCGAGGTATATAATATATTTCATAACTCCAATTCTTATCTTACTGATAACTTTATATAATATATATATATAATAAATTTATTTACGTTTTACAGTACCACAAAGAATTCGGAAAAGTAGATAGTTTTAATTTTACAGCTGGACAAAGCCTAAGAATCAATCACTGCTCAAACTTTCACGTATGCATTTTAAAATGAGACAAATCTATAATGGAAAAGATTTTTCTAACAGTTTAATTCACAAAAGTATGTGTTCCCTTTATTGCCTATGGTTGCATATATGTAGCTATAAATTACGATTAGGAGGCTGCAACCTACAGAACAGGTTAATTTTTGGATTACTTAAATCCGAATTTACTAATATAGGTTACATATAGGTTACTATGTATAACCGACCATGATCCTGACGCTGTGTATGACTGTAATTAATTGATGTTTTATTAGTTACATATTTGTACCACTTCCCTTTCAAAATAGGTGTATGTTTACATTGATAACTACTTAAATCAGAAGATACATTCTGTCTTAACAGACATGTTCCTGATTTTGCAGGTTACATGATTAATCTCTTCAGTTGAGTAGTAAGGTTAAACTGCTAAAGGAGATGAAGTTTTGTCAATTTGCTGAGATTGTAGATGAGCTTCAAAAGATGTTAGATACATTATATGAATATACAACTCTCTGGGATTTTTCTGTTAATGTAGCTAAAATAAAAATTATTTTTAGATACGGAAGTAAAATTAAGCCTATAGAAAAATGGAATCTTAATGGACACTCGATCAAAGTTATCGATAAGTTTGTTTACCTGGGTGTTTTACTGAATTTTAATGGTAATTACTATTGTTCGCAAGAGCAACTAGCAACACAAGGCGGAAAAGTCATGTCTGCATTAAAATCAAAAGTAAAAAATGTATGTGTAAATACAGAAACACTTTTGTCACTTTTTGACACCTGTGTAACAAGTATTACAATGTATAAACTATGGTTGTACGTTGTGAAGTTTGGGGTAGTCATAACTGCTAGTGACTTAGAAAAAAGTAAAGTTGGAGTTTATAAAATCTGTTTTAGGAGTAAGGTGAAAAACACCAAAAAATGTTTCAGTGTATTTAGAAACTGGAAGGCTACCTATGAAAATTACTCAAATGTATAGAAGGTTAAAACTCTGGTTCAACGTTTTATGTAGTGAAAATTGTATGATTGTTATGATGAATTGTATAACTGTAACGGAATGAAAAGCAGTAAGAAAAATTAGGCCTTTTGTCATCATCAATTATTTATGATTTATTCAATATTTATAGAAACATTTGCTGTGTCTATTGAAGTCAAAAAGGCCATCAAGAGACCTGAAAACAATCAAGGTAATTTCAAACCAGTTTTAACACCCTCAATTCTATGCAATGCATTTTAATCGAACGCTTTCAATCTTTATTACTCTTGGATCATTTGTATGATCAACTATGAAACATACTAATATTTCAACTATTATTGATAAAAAAATGTTATAAATAAAAAGAGGATTGTGATATCCATTCTTTCAGAATAAAGTAATAGATTTTATCGAAGAGAAATTGAGGGAATTTCAGAAAACGAATGCCATGAAGAACTGGACTAGCTTAACAGAGAGTGCCAGTAATCGTCATCCGACAAGAAATAACCGAGCATGTCTTTGTGAAATGATTGAGGACTTTGTGAACAAAGTACTTGATGATAGAACAGTCATTGAAGTCTGATAACATTGAATTTTTGAGATATTTCATCAAATTAGTGTTCTCAGTGTATCGAGCTCTTGTATATTAAAGTACATGTAATTCATATACCAGGTATATATACATTTTATGCATATTTTTATATTCTCCTCAAAGTTAATAACACCCAGTTCAGTTAATGACTGATTAAGTCTTTTGACCTCTGGTTTAATAAACAATGTAGTTGTTTCTCTTACTTATTATTGCAATAAGTCAGATTTTTGTGATTCCAAAGTCGTGACTTTGGCTCTTGACAGTTGATATTGTAGCCATAGGTCTTGTCATATCTTTTTTTTTTTTTTTTTTTTTTTTTTTTTTTTTAGATTTCTATGAAGTGCCTCATTTTTTATTATCTCCGTATTTCTTATCGAAATTCTAACAAACTTGCACAAATTGAAGTCAAAATAAAACTGAAAAATTATCTACTTATGTGCTCTAGAGTCGCAGAATAAGGAGTTGATCCTTACGTCGCGGGTTAGAATCCACTGTGTGACGTGGACACCGGTCCTTCGGATT